GAGAAGGCCCGTATCCACTACTTGAAGGTGTATTCTGGGTGAAGCTCGCTTGTGACTCTAGTCGACAAAAAACTTCGAAAGTATGTTCTGAGTAAAGCTTGTCTTGTGTCCCCCTGTCCAGCAAATGACCACAAGTAAACCAACCTAGGTTTTTAAATTCATAGCTAACTTAAACAGAGAAAGCCAATAAACAATTCTTGCGACGGAACTTAAAATTTTATGATTACCAAACTAATTATCCGATCAATTTGGCTATAGTTGCCCATAGTAGCTTACCCTACCACGCATATATGTTCAAACACAACATTTATTTTCGATCTCTGGTCCATATGTTTGATAAGGAAACTTTGGTTATAATACGAGAATTCCATGTAAGGAAGTAAACACACTTGCATGTGTGGACGACGTATGTATGTTTTGGTTTACACGTTTTGGTCTCCGTTAGAAAAAAAAGTGTTAGTTATCAAACATTTATTATAGGGAACATTGAATTCCAATTGGTTAATTTCCGACTTTAATTTCAGTTTCATGCAATTAATACAATTTCATAAAGTAATGCATGTCCAAATCTTTGTGTAAATAAAGTCAAACCCTTTTAATTTCAACCAATTAACACCTTTTTTTTTTTTGTTTGGGTTTCATAACAATAAGACATAATCTAAGGTAATATTATCCTGTATTATTAATCCTTAATCCATTGAGAATGGGAGAGTGGAAAAGTTAAAATGTTGTCAAGAAAACAGATAATAAGTCAGCTAACTACATACCTCTCAGCCTGGATCTTACCCAACTGCTACCTAACTCTTTTGTGTGTATATATATAATATTACATTTATATCATATATGGTGTGTGTAAACTGAATATAATGAATACAAAAACAAAGTCAAAAAAGCAAAATTTCCCAATTTCAATTGGTAACTGAAAATGAGAAGAAAATGCGCATATGCATGCGTAGGTTTAATTTAGAGTTAGTTGTAGCAGCATGTGCATGGGGATGGACGTAGCTGCTTGCTGCCGCCATGCATTAACTTCTTCACGCGTTCACCTCCATCATTCTCTCACACCCCATGTTGCCTAAGATCAACATGCGTTGCTAACTTATCCGCACAAAAATTCACCCCACACTACCCGAAGATGGGCACGGGATGAAGCCTGCCTTGTGACTCTAACTACCTGACAAACGACTACAAAGAGATAAACTAATTTAGGGTGCTCATAGCTGACCTAGTCAAATCAATAAAGTCAATAAACAACTCTTATAAAGAGTCTAATATTGTAGTTACCAAGTCAACTGATCAACTAGCTTGATTGGGGTTCTTCCATGACAGCTTGAGTTCGTCTTAGCAAGTTCATGAATAGCTAACACATATATGAAACAAGGGATCTATATTAGATACCTTTTCAATCAATATATAGTCATCTCGGCCGTGATTACTCCAAGTAACTTTTAGGGTGTGTCTGGTTCGAACATGAGAATTGGAATTAGAGTGGGAATCAAATATTTAATGATTGGAATAGGTTTTGGTGAAATTATTTTCAATGTTTAGTCGGTGCGTGGAATTGAAATGATTACCAATACTGATGTTTGGTTATATATAACCCTATAATCGAAATAAATTAAAGGTTTTAAAAATACAAAAATAAAAAATCAAGACAATGAATCTTAAGAGTGACGATAAAGTGAGTAGATAATGTAGTGAGGAAGTTGATCGATGAAGTGAGGAAAGATGACTAATTAAGGAGACAACGAAACAAGGAGGCAATGAAATGAGAATGGAATAGACTGAATTAATGGAATGATACCTGAGTTAAATTAAATAATGTATTCTGTAATTATAGAGACTTTTTATACATATCTTAAAATATTATCGACCAAACAATGTGTATGACTTCATTCACATTCTTTAATTTGTATCTAAGCCTAGGAACCAAACACACCCCTTAGACTGCAAATTAAATTTAATATGGAGAGTAGTTTCATTTTGAGTTATACTAGTATTTTCGCCCGTGCGATGCACGGGATAGATTTGTTATAATATATTAAAAATATTTGGATTGATATATAATTATTTAAATTGGAACATTAAATATTATACAGTGCAATGGAAGATATGTTTTGAATTATTTATGTGTTTTGATGTTATCATTGTTTGAATTTGAGCAAATAATTGCTCAAATTAATAGCTTATGTGTAAATGTACGCATGCGATGCTGTAATTTTGGAGATTTTATTTATCATTGTTTAGTATTTTTTTTTATAAATTAGGCAAATGTTTTCGTTCTCTAGCAACTCAGTTATATGAATGAATTGCTATCTTAATTCAATTGTATGGAATATATATATTTTTGTCTAGATATATAGCAATTTTGCCATTAAAAAAAAACATAATATCAACGATTGTATTTACACATTATTGAAACCTGTTTGTAGATGACATCAGTTGTAGCAACGCAATCCTGTCCATCATCGTATAGAGCTAACACCTTCAGTCTTTCAGGATAGGTGACTCGGGTGAAAATATATAATGGTAGAGTATTAGTCAATTAGCGATCCTTTTATATTTTAAGTCAATTTGTAATATCAAATTCATTTTCAGCAAATTATTCTTTTATATTTTTAGTCAATTAGAATATCATATGCAGTGATATTTTTACCTAATTTTTGTTCAATTTTTAATTGATGATGTATAATATTATTATTGAAATATTTACGTTCCATTTTTAATTTATCTTTAATATTGTTTAAAATATGCATTTACTATTCATGATGTAGAATTATTATTGAAATATTTCCGTCAAATTTTAGTTTCCGTTCCATTTTTAATTAAAATGCAATGATCTAACCATTTATTTTTTTTCATATTAATCAATTATGGATCATTTTTTATTTGCAGTCAACTATTAGTATTCATTTCTTTTTATATTTTCAGTCAATTTGTAATGCCATATTCATTTTCAGCCAATTATTCTTTTTTTTTTTTTTAATTTTCATTCAATTAGTCAATTAGAATATCAGATACAGTGATATTTTTACTTAATTTTCGTTCCATTTTTAATTGATGATGTAGAATATTATTATTGAAATATTCCAGTTTCATTTTTAATTTACCTTTACTATTGTTTAAAATATGCATTTACTATTGATGATGCAGAATATTATTATTTAAATATTTCCTTTTCATTTTTAATTTACTTTTACTTGATGATGTAGAATATTATTATTAAAATATTTTTGTTCTATTTTTAATTTTCATTTCATTGTTTAAAATTGTGAAAGATTTATGACATAATTGTGATTTGATGTATTATACTGTATAATATTATTGTGAAAAATTAAAATGCAATGATCTGACCATTTCCTTTTCCATTTTAGTCAATTATGGATCATTTTTATTTTCAGTCAATTATTAATATTCATTTCGTTTTCCAATTAACCTAATTTCAATTCCTTTTTTTTTCATTTTTAATTTTCAGTAAATTATTAATATTCATTTCTTTTCCAATTTACCTAATTTCCATTCCATTTTTAATTGATGATGTAGAATATTATTGTGAAATATTTATGTTCCTTTTTTTCATTTTTTTTTATTTTACCTTTACTATTTACTATTGTTTGGACAGGAAATCAAGTAAATAGGATTTTATTTTTAATTATAGTATAGATTTGACCGTGAGGTTGTAACATACATATATGATGAATTGGCTATATTATAAATTGTTTAAATTTGTTATATAGGGTATTATATTACGTGAGAGCATTGAATATGGAAACAATATTACTAAGATTTTAGTTGATTTCTACTTTACATTTGCTTACAAAATAAGTTGTATTAAATTAGTTGGTGATAAAATCCAAAAATTCTACACGGTAATACCATTCATAATATTACCAATTATGCTATTATGTTATTACCTAATTATTTAATGTCTTTTCTACACGGTATTATAAATATATAAAAAAAATACGGAGAATTTGCAAACAATAATGTTACCAAAAATATTATTATATTAAAGAATATAATTAATATATCTGGAAGATCATATAGGGCACTCTTTGAATAATATATACACATTTAGCAGTACCAATGTTATTACTAATACTTTATATATATCTGAAGTATTGAACCTTTAGTGTGAGATAAGAAAGAAATAATCAGTTAAATGATGCCTTTATTTGAATGCACTAAGACTATTACAGTGCTCCATCACTTTGCAAACATGTACAACTTTGGCTTTATTTTATACTTTAAATTATACTTTGCTTATCCTTTAGATTTTAATGTATTATTTTAAGCTAATTTATTTATTAACATTAAAAATACATTTTAAAGTGTGACAATTTATACTAATAAATCATTTTAAAAAGTGGCAAAAGATGATTTTCTAATTTGTCGCCACTGCATCAATTTAAAAAAAAAAAATTGTTGCTATTGTTTACCTCGATCATCTCATGAATATCCATAATTTTTATTAGAGGGGTCTAATCAACACATAAACTGAAAAAAAAAATGTCAATCATAAACAAAATATGTACAAAAATAAATGATAAAAACATTATGATAATGATTAAGACATAATAAATTTACATTTCCAAAAAATCACAAAACTCTGGAAATCCTATTGAAAAGGAACTGTGTATCAAGAGTAATATATCTTGACATAACTGGCTAATCAAAAAGAATATTCATTACTTGTCCTTATTCAAACACTTTCAAATATAAAGAAAAATTAAAACACTTGTGTTTAGATTAACTCTTCGTATCATTCTTAACTCTACACAATTGCATAAGAACAACCATATGATTTGCAAGGCCAAAATTTAAAAATAAATAAATAAATAAATAAGGTTTCAACTCTTGGCCTTGGTATATGTTGATCTCACACTGTAGCTTTCAATTGATTGCCCCTATAAACAAATAAACTACGGAGTACTTAATAAAAAATACATATACAAAATACAATAAAAATAACAAAATTAGATAATTTACTTTGTATCCACGTACAATTAGAAAATCAATAAGTTAAGAAGGCTTCCCTGCAATGATTTTATCCAATGGGGAGTATATCTCAACGACCCTACCAATAACGTCAAACATGTTAATAAAAAAAAATTTAGATGTAGATTAAAATTGTAAATGAAACTTACCAACGAATTGTTTATCATCTACAGACTTCAAAGATGAAAATGATTTCAATAAATAAATTTGTCTAGAAAAGTTGTCATTTTTTTTTATATATTATTTAACCAAAGTAGCATAGTGAAATTACAACATAAAATAATGAGTGCATTTTTTGAAAATATAGAAATTAATTATCACCATAAAATTTTTAATAGCATAAACTTTTCATTGTTTGAAAAGCTTACAGTACTTACCAACATGTTCCCTTGGTATATGAGCATGAAGTTCCCTACAATGAAGTAAAAAAGAAAATTGTTATTTTGTAATTTATTTTTGCAGTATAGGAAGCAGCTTTGTAATGCATCTTTTTCCCAATTTCATATACAACATACACGAGTTCTAGAAAAAAGCAAAATCGAAAAAAAATACCATTTGATAGGAAAATGTGCACTCTCTAGATTTTATGAAATCACCCCCTTTTCTCTATGGGACTTCATATAGGTGCACACCAAACACTATCTAATAGCTTTGAAAGTCTTCAATGGAGAAATATCCTAGGCAAGAATAAACATTGGAGTCGTATAAAAAAGCAAAATTGAAAGAAAAAAAAAACCTCTTGATTGTGAAACATGCACTCTCTAGATTTTACGGATTCACTTCCCTTTCTCTATTGTGACTTCATATAGGTGCGCACCAATTGCAGTCTAATAGCTCTGCAAGTCTTCAATGGAGAAATATCCTGGGCAAGAATAAACATTGAAGCCGTAATAGTTGTATGTTAGTATACATATCTATATCTCTATATATAATTACTCAATATAAAAGAATGAATAAATGAATATAAGGAAAAAATATTATCAATTAATAGATTTACCAATTAGGTTAATACGTGAATATGGAAACAATATTATCAATTAATAAATTTTAATTAATTTCTATTTTACATTTGGTTACCAAATAAGTTTTATAACAAAAGTTTGAGCGGGAAAATGAAATAGGAGGATTTTACTTTTATATATATATAGATTTGAAAGAAATTAAAAAGAAGTGTTTTAAAGCTATATTTTGGGGGTCAAAATAATGCAACCCATTCTAGTATGCACACACCGCCTCTTTCCACGCGTTTTCACATTTTTGCTGACTTTTTTAATGTATTTTTTTTCTTTCATTTCTTTTTTTGGGTTACCCCACATTTATTGCATTCGAATCAGTTGTCAGATTTAAGGTTTTAATACTAGAATTATTTTGGAAAATTTACGTGCCTCGTTATTATATAAAATGGACAGTATTAGGGTACATTATACGTTTCCTTTTATTTATACATGCAAATAACAAGTTTTAATAATTCTACATCCTTGAAGTGTTCGAACACATGTATATATGTAGCAATACCCTTAAGATATATATATAGTCAGTGTCATTGAAGTTTGTAAAAGAAGAAACTTGTAAATTGTTGTGCTTCTTGATTAAGAGATAGTGAGTTGGATACATCTGTGATTCTGTGGTAGAAAGCAAATAAGAGGTTCTTGTGTGAAAACAAGCTAAGTTCATTAAATGGCAATGGACAAAAGAGCAAATAATTGATCATGTGGTGCGGTGCTTACTTTTGAGTTTTGATTGAGTTATTGAATAATTTTTTATTTTTATTTCTTTTAGTACTATTGACCATGTTAATTACATGTAGTATCTGTTCATATATATACTTATCAAACTATTGAAATCCAACGAGTCAAATACTGTCTCTACTGAGGTTCTTACCTATGACCTCCCACTTGAGAGAGTCACTTCATGTCGCTTGAATAATTTTTACTTACAAGCTAAGTGTGTAACTAGCTAGCTAGCTCGTGAATTTGACTTCATAATGCTCCACTAGCCAGGATTTAATTTGTCTACAGTAAAGTTGAAATTAACTCTTATAGTCTTATGTTATATGTACAAGAAACTACTATATTAGACATTTAGACTGCGTCTTTATAACTTAAAAAGATTTTTTAATAAGTTTAAAGTATCTTTTTTTCTTTATTTTTGTGGTTACTAATCAAATTACATCTTCTTCCTTTTTGAATGACAAGGGAAACTAACTTGCATCCACTATTCGAGAATATGCACTGAATAAATTTTGTTCATGTATAAGATTAATTACATCTTTATTAAACTCTTATGTTTTACGTCCATGCTATTCTTGTTGACCCCATTGTGAATCTAGAAGAGAAACATGTTCTGTGAGTAGTTACCAATAATGTCATATTCAAATAAGTTAGAAATTAAAGAGATTGCTCTCACAGGTAGCTCGATTGGTTTTTAATCAAATTTTGGCAGTCACATTGTGAGAATTCCACCCTCTCATGGGGTGACTCCTTGTGAGCACAAGACATCAGTCCTTCTACCTAAAAGGTGGACATACACAAGAAATTTTGTCTTTTGCACTCAAAGAAGATACCAACATTTTTTTTTTAAATTTTAAGGTGCATTTTTTAAAATATAAATATAATTTTCTATCATCCATTCAAAATTAATTTCTTGGACAAGAGAAAGAAAAACTCAGCCTAACCATATTTTCGTAGTTAAATGATGGACTAGATGTCAAATGCTTAGTCCACAAGAGGGTGATTTTAGGACTTGCTTAGCGCAAGGTTTGGCAATAAGACTCCACTCATGTAGGCAAGAAATATAAGCAACTTCTAGAAAAGCTTAAGTCATACTCTCCTTGCAATTGCACAAACTTGTAGCTCAAACAACACTTTAATATCTCACACGAAAACTAACAGCATATCAGATTTTTGCAATATACATAACGTCTTATACTCTTATTCGTGCCTTCTAGAAAGATGGTAGGCATACACCATCAGATGTTGACACGGCAAGGTTAATTATGGAATCATTCAAATAGTTTTCTTTTTTCCAAATGAACATCAGAGCCGTTCATCTCACGCTGACTGCTGAGCAACAAAACAGAGTCCATTAGGTCACCAAAGAAAGAGTGCAAAGGACATCGACAAATTGATCCAGTTTAAAGCTGGATAAGCATGCATACTCATATCATACATAGTCCATAAGTCCATATAAGAGTAAAATTCTGATTATTTTTCTCTTCCGGACAAACACGCTGTAAGATTTAGGGATGACAATGGATTCGCAATGAAAGAAGCAAGTTGCAGTTTGTGTGGGAGAACCAGTGGAGATTGGGATGGTTTCCGTCAATTTAAAGTTCTTCGTCTTTGAAGTTGACAGCGAGATCCCAGTAGTGGGGAACACCTGCATCAGCAAAAATTTTCCGGGCTGCAGCTTCAGTCCTGCATTCGTGAACAAAGAATTTGTGGAAGCTTGGTTTAGCGACACTCCCTTGCCAAACCAACACACACTTGTTGATGGGCTTTTCTTCATCCTCGTCTTCGTCTTCATCTTCTTCCGTTTTGACAGCGGCAGCCCAATCAATCCGCCTGAGCATAAGTTTCCCATAACGTTTAATAGATTTCTTGCCGCCTTCAACTGCCACAACACAAATACCGTCTGAAATCACTGCACACCCTGTCATACGGTTCTCCTGAGCATTGACATCCACCTTGAAACGGGTCTGTGGGTGCGAAAGATCGTTGATTTTGTATACAGAAACTATAGTCTCCAGCGTGCTATTGGCGTCATCAAAAAGTTTCCTCTCTTTCTTTTCACGCCGCTCATCAGGGGTAAGCTTACGAGCTATGTTCCTGTCTATATGAGCTTGCTCACGCTCAGCAGCAGCACTTCTAATCTCCATTTCAAGCTTTGTGGGATCTTGGGTGGCTTCTGATCCAAGAACTTTCATGAGGTTACTCATTTTAACTTTTGGTTTTGGTGGTTCCAATAGTCCTTGTCTAATCATCTCTTGTTTATCCTTCTCTCTAGCCAACCTACGCTGAGTACGAAGCTTCTTCTGCTCCTTTTTGGTTAGCTTCAGTGGTTGTGGTGGAGGTGGAGCTGGTTCTGCAGGAGGCTCAATAGGGCGTGGGTGCTGAACATAAATGGTGATCATTTCCATCCTCAACTTATCATGACTTATATTGCCTTCAGTGATGTCACCATAAGCACCAGATTGCAGAACAGGAACATCCCTGGCAAATCAAGGAAACCAAAGCAAGGGACCGCATTAAAGGCTAAAGTTGGTGCAACAAACATTGCAAACAAAAACACTTAAAATAATACGACACTGAACCAATGTTTGCCCTTCTGGTCTAGGCAACTAAAAGATAAAATCCTAGAGCTCAAACTAACCCACTTCCATCTGCTTATATCTCTCAGTCTCTCTATCTCTCTCATACAACACACTGACACAATACATATGTACATCCACAAGATAAAGTGTGAAATACTGAAATATAGACAACTTACCACCACTCAACCTCAGGAATTGGTTCCTTTTGCTTTTCCTGGGTGAAAACTCTCTGTGAGACCTCAATGAGATTTGGATTTATATCAGGCTCTGCTTTTGCCTTTGCTAATTGTGCTTGCTTTGCTTTTAGCTCCTTGGCACGTGCTTCTCCAAATTGACTCTGCAAAAGCAAGAGTCGGAGATTAAAATTAAAAAACACAATTAGAGTACTACTAAAACAGAAAGAGATGTACAGAAGGACAAATGAATGCATGAAAAAAAAAAAACCTTCAACTTAATTATTTCTGCATCCTTGGACCATTTGCCTTCCTCTACAAACTGAAAACTCATCCTCTTGGGTCTTAGAATCTTATTTTTGTTAAGACCCATCCTAGCATCAAAATGGGGATTTTCGTCAGGATCAACTTCAAGCTCTGGTTTCAATATTTGGAAAGCATCCTTTTTCTTTTTATTGATGTTTACCTGGATGGGTAAATAGAGATATAAAAGGGCATTAGAAACAGTACTAGAAAAATAAAACCAAAATGAGATAGAAAGAAGTAAAACAAAAGAGAATATTTACCTTAAGAGTACTAGATGGTTTAGGCATATTAACAACATTTCCTTGTTCATCTATTTCCCTGCCCAAAGCATCCAAACGGAGAACAGGAGCTTTGGCAGGCTTTGGCTGAATGGTAACTTCTTGTGGCATCTGCCCAGGAAACATGTTTATAAGGGGAGCAAACTCTGGGTCTTGTCGAAATCCCATCTTTGCAGCAAGCTCTTGTGCACGTTTAACCGCTTCATATTTCTGTGCTGTTAGCCCAGCAAGATGAGGTAAGCCACTAGGTGGTAGATTGACAGAAGCTCCTGCAGGCAGGTCTAACGTGCTCGGGGCAGCACTTGCTGGTGTGGGTAGTATACCAGAATTGGAAGATGCAACTAGAGCTGGCTGTACTCCAGCATTAGTTGACGAGGCTTTAAGGCTCTCTGTAGCTCCCACTTGTTGACTACCCTCTCTAGTTGAACCAGCACCCTTATTTAACTATATAAAGAAATAACGTAAAATTAATGGTAAAAATGCCTTCCTAATGGACCTAACCTTTACAAATTATGGAGTAATATAATATAATATAATATTATATATATATATATATATATATA